CTACCCGCTATGATGTGGCAGGGTTCTTGGTGAGGTGGTGGGGGCAGAGGACGTGGAAAAGGTGGACACACTGTTCGTGGTCCACCTCTTCCACATCCACCCAATTCAGGGGCCCTGCCCAAGGCCTGCCTCCAGCTGGTAAAGAGCGGCCTCAATCTTCTGAATAGGGCCACCCCAACCACAGCAGGGGACAGCTCCCCGCCATGACAACAACCCAGCGGATGTGGAGGCTACTCTTGTGGATGGTAAGCGCCACCTGGTGGCCAACACTATACTGAAGAAGGACACTACTAGTTGATAGCTAAGGTCAGTTAAGTACAATTAATCAATAAACTAGGTGGAAATAAGCACTGGTGCTACAACCTGGTACAATGCATCTCTCCTGTTAAAGTTAATGTAAAAATTGTGCGCTGTCCCTGTGTCATTAAAAAAATAAATCAATAAACATGACCAGTTACTCTGGTTACCGTGCGGTATGCATGGGAGAGACTGGCCTCCCTCATGTATCACTAGCCTTAGCTCCAGGCAAGAAAGCTTGAGAATTAGGCCCCATGGTCCGTAGGCTTTCTAAACTTGTTGATTGGCAAAATTCTGATCTGCCTTCAGTTCAATATTCCCCATCTTCCATATTTGACTCTACTCTTTTGCAGCATGAAATACTGACCAGGACTCATGATAGAGATTATACTGACCATGAGGAGGTCTCAAGCTAAGCCCAAATGCTTGTTGGAGGCTCTCCCTGGTCACATGTGGTCTGGAGGCCCAACAGATGTGGGATCTTCTCCCAGGCTCTGCATGGTATTCTCACACGCCATTAAAAGTGACATCAAGGAAGATCAGGTTGTATATGTTCCACAGTACAAAATAATGTGAATAATGAGATAATGTGTCGGCTGTGTGGCATTGCAGTGTGGTGCATTGGAAAATCATTCTGTCTTTGTGTAAATGAATGTGATTTCTACCTGAGACCAGATCCCCACAGGAAAATATTGATTATGATTGATTACATTAAAATAGTGATTAGAAACACATTTTGTCTTGTAACTAAAACTCATTTGGTTTGTTTGAAAGACCCTTCAGTGTAAATACTTTTGTTCCCTTTTGCTTGCTAATCTTGTCAGGAAGTGACAAATGCATGTGAATATGGATGCAAATCAAATCAAACACATGTGGCCACACCTCAGTAGGAGTCGTCACCTTCTCACTTTGAAATGTATGTCTTCTGGTCATTTCTGGTGATATAAACTTGGTGCTTTGTAACATTCGGTTAGATGTGGTAGGGACATACTGCTGCAGGAGAGGCTGTTGGTCTCTGACCAGGGCAGGCCTAGGCTCTGACCATATCTGCTGTAACAAAAATAAACCTTGGTCTATATTCCCAAAACTCATTGGGCTTTGCAAATGGATTAATTATTTATCTATCATCCAGAGATATATAATCTTGTCCACAACACGCCTTTTTGAAGATATTTTTTGCATTAATAATAATAAATGATAAATTTTTCATAATACTCCTTGGTTACACAATCTTTAGTTGCAGCCCTACTCCACTGATAATGACCATGGCAATAAACTCTGATTCTGATGAATATTTTCTGACCAGTCTCTTAAATCATGCTGGGTGATTATAATTGGTCATGACCAACTTAATTTTCACTTTAAATTTCCTGCTGAAATCGCCTTATGTTTCACTTGACTGTGTCCTCTGCTCTCCTCGCTCAGACTCTACAATAGATTTGTTTTTCCAGGAACTTTCCAGGTTTTTATGAACTGCACTTAGAGGTCCCCACAGAAGTGGTTGAAGTTTAAAGATTATTCTAAGTGTAGCTAATGCCCTTATCTCTTTAAAAACAGCTAAAGCTTATTTACATTTGAGACAAGAAGCGCAGAAGTCCTCAGAGAGCAATTTCATGCACAACACCAAAGCCACGCTGATAAGAACACAAAGCCTTCACACTATAATGTGACCTCTATAAACTAAAGGAAAGCCATTACATAATAATAATCATTATACTTTTGGGGACAATTTCTTTAAAAAAGTGTTGTTCCCTTGTTACAAAAATGCCTGAAGAGGTTTTAGCTGTCCTCCATGCATGTTTGAGTAATTTAATGATTTCTCCCAACCCTATTTGAACCCTCCTTTCAAATAGCTGTAAGATTCTGTCCAAGGCTCTGCCAACAAGCCTATGTCACCCCATATAACAATTCTCCATAAATATACAAAACATGACACAAAACTGTGTGATGTACAGGAGTTTCAATAGTGGGATGCATTAGAGGGACATTGATTGTGTTGTGACAGCGCTTTGAAGAGGTGGTGACTTAGCTCCGGGAGCAAATAGATACTTATAAGGCATGTTAATACCTTGATTTTGGCAAATTTTCAAAACAATAAAAGGCAACATGGTGATCTAAATATGTTATGGGTTTACTTGTCCCCTAGTTAGCCAAACATAATGTTTACTCTTCTACTAACTGACGTTTTGCAACTGGCGTCATCAACATTCCCTGGGGGTGTAAAGATAACTGAAGGTACTACTCTGTCTGAAATTATGTGACTCAAATTAGACTTTAATCTGAGTATTATTGTTTTAACATAATCTGAGCAGAAAAAACTGATTCACCTGGAACTACAACAGGAGATATGATTTGTGCTGTTAAACAGGTCCCTCTCATGTAACATTACAGTCACATTTTTCAGTTAGTCACCATCACTTTTTTTTGTTGAACATAAAACTCTTAAACAGGACCATGAAGGCTCAGACTGATCACAGGCTCCTGAAAGTTTGTTTTTTCAATACATTTGTCTTAAAACTTTTTTTTTTTTTTTTTTTTTTGCCTGTGTTTGTTTGTGTGTGCATTGTGTCATCCCCAGTGGAATGTCAATGCAAAGTGTCAATAATAGAAGTAGAGTATGTAATGCAGTATTGCAGTAATTCTTTATCAGAATAGCTAAAATAATTCATAAATAACAGTCTGTTTAATTCTATAACTTCTGTGTTATAGAAAGCATCCACAATAAATGCATTAAAATATGGTAAAAGTGTGCAAAGTGACAGTGTGCAAGTGCAGTGAGCCAACCCAATCCATGAGTCTGTGCTCGACGCCACATGACATAATCCTGCTCCAGGACATGACAGAAATGACCACAAACATTATATTAAATGAAATAAAGTGTCTATTTAACAAATACATTCATTTAAAGCACGATTTTATGAGGCATGGATGTATGCAAATGTCAAGGATGTAAGTGTGAGTGTGTGACTTGAGATGTGTGCGTGCACTGTTGTATGTTGTGCATTAACATAATAATATGAAGAAATGGTGAGTGTCTGGGCCCTTGACACAGACACTAGGGCTACACTAACACAAACTCCACATGCACCTGCCACAGGCTGTATAAGAGAGAGAGTGGACTAAGTGATTGTGACGTCACCCACAGCATTCAGCCCCACTCAAGTGAAGCTCATGATGCTCACAGTTACAGGAGTGAATTTGGATCCAGGCTCTCTATCAGAAATAGACACCAGGATCATGTAGAGAGGGGAAATACAAACATTTTGAGAGCAAAGACAAGGCTCACAGCAGCAGTTACAGCAAGAGGAGCGACTATATTCAAACGTATGTCAGTGGGAACCAGGATCAGTATGAGCCGAAAGACCCATATGTGAACTTCCTGTTTAGAAAGTGGTGGCTAGCGTGTTACCCATAACCATTACACAGTCTATGACACCTGCACACACAATAAAACTACCACACACACCAGGACTACACCAACCCAAACTCCACCTGCATCTGCACCTGCACAGCTGCTTTCCTCAAGACAGCAACCTCAAGCACATTTATATCAATGTTCGGATTTTTGCTAAAATTCTCACATTTGTTCATCCACAATTTTCCGTTTGCTCCAATTTCATGTCTGTTTGACTGACAGAGGACTCACCTGTCTGTATAAAGCACCCACACTTCAGAAATAACACGGACTCCATCTTGATTCAAATTTGGTGCAAGAAACAAATGTTCAAATAATTTCAGATTGTCACATAAAACTTTTGTCACTTTAGACTCACTCACAGAGGGAAGAAGAAGCATAACTTTTACTCAAGTAAGAGTACTGTTACACTGTACTATATATTACTCAAATAAGAGTACTGTTACACTGTACTATATATTACTCAAATAAGAGTACTGTTACACTGTACTATATATTACTCAAGTAAGAGTACTGTTACACTGTACTATATATTACTCAAGTAAGAGTACTTTTACTTCAGAATAACACATTTTCCTTGTCTGGTTCATGCTGGACACTGCCCTCTACTGGCCCATGTGCTAAAGTGAAGTATTTGGGAACAGCACAAATGAAAACAAATTAAAATCAAAATCAATCAATAAAAATTAAGACACAGGAAAAAAAAAAAAAAAAAAAAAAAAAAAAACACACACACACACACAAATCCACAGGAAGAGAAACTGTTAACGCTGTAACAGCTTATCATAACCTTTATATTGAAAAACATACACAATTCTAATTTCAAACAAATTCTTTTATAATACCATACATATTATTCATAAACTGACATCACAAAGTGGAACAAAGCATTTTGAGCTTGGGAGATGTAGACACCCCTTTGGTGTAATCCTGTTTTAGATACTTTTTCACCTGCAAATACAGCACATGTGTACATTAAACCAAGACTAAACCAATAAATAATGAATTCTTTGATGGTGAAAATGGAACTCAAACACATATGGCCCTGATGAAGGTGGTGTTTGTTGGTGAGAAAAGGTTGCCTCCTCACACCAAAGCACAGTGGTCCTTCTCTCCTTTAAACTATTTTCCTCTTTGCTTCTCTTTTGGATCATTTGACTTGTATCCAGTGACCCTGTGTCTGTGTCTGTAAACTGGCACAGTCTGATTGAGATTCTGATAAAGCGTGTGTGTGTCCCTTTAAAAGCAGCTGCCGCTGCTGTTTCCTGTTTCCTGTGTCCTCCTCTGATCTGCACGGAGCTGTGGGTGCGGCCTGGCTCTTAACTTTTATTTATGTCAGTGTTTATGATCCAAAAGAGATGGCTCAGAAAGCTCTTGACCTCTCTGCCTTTTCCTGCTCCATGTGTTTGGATCTACTGAAGGATCCTGTGACTCTTCCCTGTGGACACAGCTACTGCAGGGCCTGTGTCCAACAGCACTGGGACCAAGAGGACAAGAAGCAGCTCTACAGCTGTCCTGAATGTCGCCTCAGCTTCAGCCCCAGGCCTGTCCTGGGTAAAAACATCATGTTAGCAGGTTTAGTGGAGCAGCTGAAGACAGCGCCCCCTGCTGCTCGCTGCTATGCCGGACCTCAGGATGTGTCCTGTGATGTGTGCACTGGGAAAAAGCTGAGAGCTGTCCAGTCCTGTCTGCAGTGTGTGGCCTCTTTCTGTGAGCGCCACCTACAGCCTCATTATGAAACTACAGTCTTTAACTTGCACCAGCTAGTGGCGCCGTTCCACAAGCTCCAGGAGAAGCTGTGCTCTGAACACCACAGACTGATGGAACTATTCTGCCGCAGTGACCAGCGTCTGCTCTGCTCCCTGTGTGTGGATCAGCACAATGGTCATGACCTGGTGACCTCTGCTTCAGAGAGGGCTCAGATACAGGCAGAGCTGCCAGCCAGGAGGGCCCTGCTGCTCCAGAGCCTCCAGCACAAAGAGACAGACCTCCAGAGGCTCCAACAGGAGGCACAGGACATCAGCCACTCTGCTCAGACAGCAGTGCAGCACAGCGGGGACAGTTTCAGAGACATGGCCCTTCTCCTGGAGAGAACACAAGCTGAAGTGGAGCAGCAGATCCGCTCCCAAGAGCAGACCCAACTGAGACGAGTCCAAGAGCTCCAGGACCAACTGCAGGAGGACGTGAGGGGGCTAAAGAGGAGCCTCTCTGAGCTGGACACACTGGCCCTCACCCAGGATCATAACCAGTTTATACAGGTCTACACCTCACTGTCCCCACACACACAGAGCACAGAGCCAGTCTCCATTCACACAGGAGACCAGGAGGTCTTTAAAGAAGTGACCAGAGCTGTGTCCAAACTCAAGGACTCACTCCAGCTCATTCTAAGTCCAGACCAGAAACCAGGCCAGAGACCGGACCAGAGACCTGTTCAGGTTTTACTTTCATCTGCTGAACCCAGCTCCAGAGAGGAGTTCTTACAATATTCTACAGAATTCACTCTGGACCCAAACACAGCTCACACGTGTCTGTCTCTGTCTGATGGAAACAGAAAAGTCACATTAGTAAATGAACACCAGGGTTTTCCAGATCATCCAGACAGATTCAGTGACTGGGAGCAGGTCCTGAGCAGAAAGGGTGTGATGGGCCGCTGTTACTGGGAGGTGGAGTGGAGTGGGGAGTGGGCTCATATTGCTCTGTCATACAGAGAAATACAGAGGAAAGGCTCTAATGAATGTTTGTTTGGAAGAAATGATAAGTCTTGGGCCTTAGACTGTTACAAAACCAGATATTCCTTTTGGTTTAACTCAGTCCAGTGCCAGGTCTCAGGTCCAGTCTGGCCCAGAATCGGGGTTTACCTGGACCACAGTGCAGGGGTTTTGTCCTTTTACAGCGTCTCTGAAAGAACCATGAGCCTCCTGCACAGAGTCCAGACCAGGTTCACTCAGCCTCTCCACACTGGCCTTTGGTTTTACTCTTGTAATCCTGGAGACACTGCACATTTCCCTAAACTCAAATAGCAGCTTGAATTCAAAACAAAATATCCAAGAATCTGTTATTGATTTTGATTTTTATTTTTTACTGTAATCAAGTAAAAAACTGCATATATCTACATATGTATAATGTTGGTTATTTTAGAGTTTTCGCAATTTAAAAAAAAATTAAACAAAGTCGTTTGAGCTACAAATATGTATTTTGTCAAAGATTAGCATATATATGTGTGATAAAAGATAAAGAGAGAGGAGAAGGGAAAAGAGAATTCAAACGATGACAAAACACAACTTATATATGACATATTGTATCTTACACAATATTAATTTATAAAGTAGAACATCAGCCAACATCACACACTATCACTCTACTGTTCACTAATACTGTTCTAGAAATATTCAAGAAACTTCTTTTTTTTTTTTGGTTTATTTGAAAGAAGACTTTTTATTATTTTATTATTTAATTACATTTATAACCTTGCTTATTAAAACATATAATTTCTTTTCCACAATACTGATTTAGAATCACAACTTTTCACTATTAATGTTCACTATTACTGAAACTAGACTAGATAATATATTTAGAAACTGTGGTTATTTTGTGTTTGTGTGTGATTTTTGTTTTTCTCTTGATCAAGAATATAAATAAAATACATTTTATGAAAGATAAATATGTATGCATTGTAACTGGCATGTACGTCTTCACTGACAGCTTTTTACTCCATAGAAATGTTACATAGTGTAGCTTTAAAGAGCCCATATTACACTATTTCCTCTGTTCTAATGTCGTTTCCTCAT